TTTAAAAATCTTATGAATACCAAATATTAAAGTTCTAATAAAGCCATTCTCTCAAATTAACATATCCTCAATCATTCCAAACCACGGTTATTGTCTTAAAAATTTCTTTGCCACTTGTAGACCAATGTCACCTCATTATTATGTAAATACGGATTTTAAATTTTCATGTGCTCTTATATTCAGCTTATAAATTATCACCTAAGTTTGTTATGGCGCGTATTCGTCATGGTAAGATTTCCGACGCTGATGTCTCCTTAATTTTCCCTTTCATGATTTTCATTTTCTATGTATATTTTTCTTCAATTTAGAGATTTCCAACATAATCTTCAATATACGCTCAAGGTTTGTTACCTGGAAATCATATGAAGGCAGGAATTATTTAACTCTCATTGCGTTCAATTAATTTTTTCTACAGAGTCCGTCATAAGATGTTGGTGTGAATTACATCTCATTTTCTAGCAGAAAAAGTTGGCATGGTTTGAAAGCTCATCAAAGAGACTTGAAACCCTGACCACACAACTTGAATTTATTATTACTTTACTGCAGAGCCAGAAATTTCATTAGTTTGGAAAATGGTGCAAAAATAATATTATTCACACCTTGTTTGAAGTTGAGCCTTTATGTCACTTTTAAGCCATATTCAAACAGTTTTAAATTTTAAAAATTAAAACTTTATCGCGATGCTCCATATTTACTTCAAGGCAGTTCCCAGCGGACATCAGTGATCGAGTTTAAAAGTGTTTCATTATTCCATTATTATTCATAATCGTGTACTCCTTTCATCTTCCATAATTATAGTTTTTCATGCGTTTTTTTCAGGTTCATTGAGGGTGGAACGCTGAGAAGTTCTCCAGGCTTCCGTTCCTTGCTCTCAATTGCTGCACAGGGAACGGTAGCGACAAAATTACTGTCATTTTCTACGGCTGTCCCAACGCAAAGGCTCCGTGACGGCCTCCCTCTTTCTTCCACGATACCCCAAATTATTTCAGCATCTACTATTTGTTTCATCTTATTTCTAAGCTTCTTTCTTGTATTCCATACCATCGGTAGCTCAACTTTCCACTTTCTCTTTAGTTCTTGTACATGACTTCAGGGAGCTCGATCGTATCAATCATATTTAAACATCTGCTTTGATTGCTTTCTAGTTCTTTCCTTATCAAGACATCTTCAGGTTGTCTCTAACGTCCCATTGCTGGCATGGTTCAGTGGGGTCAACTTTCCCCCATTCTCCAACTACCAACGAGTTTGCCCTAAAAGCAAAGAACTTGCTCTCCCATTCTTAAAAAAATAACATTTTATTAAAATAATCTTTTTGCATGTATCTGGAGAAGACCATTTGCTTACTGTGATCTAGTACTCCTACACTATAGGAGTATATTAATTGCAAGGTATTTTTCCTCTCGGTCGACTATACAGTTGATTAGGTATTGATTCTCCCCCACAGATCGAGGCGTTTAATAACACTTGTTGTTTTCTCGCTCTCTAGGGAAGATGGCTGTAAAACTGGTCTTTTTAAAATTTTGCTGGAGAATATACTCTTATTTTAGTTAAACTGTATAAAATTCTTACTGGTCTTGATCTCTCTCTGCAGGAGAAAACCACTAGAAATTACCTGGACTTCGTGTTCCAGTTAACCACCGTCGTGCTCTCTAAATCCGTGGGCTTCTTTAATTAATTATTTATTTAATTATTTATTATAGTGGTAATGACCTGCACTGCAAGAAACTTCATAGTATTTGGTTCACCAATCTCTGATTTTACTAACGTTCAATTTCATGTATAATTTATTTATTCCCTCATTGATGGAAAATCTCTAATGATAATGGCGGTTCAATCATTATACTATCCGCCACTAATTCTAAATCAAATTAGTGATCAGCAAAATTTATCACTTTTCCAAAACAAATTATTTTTGTATTCAATTGAACCTATAGAGAGAAAAGACTGCAATATGCCGTCAGCCCAGCGGATGCTGCATTTTCTTATCACTTACTTCCAGCAAAAATATATGACAACTTAATTGTAAGCATTCGCCAATTCAATACTTCCATTTTTTCCACCTAGTTTATAGGCAATTTTATAGCATTTCAGGTGGATAATATTTGCGGTTGGTAAATAGATCTTCCAAGCATACATGCCACCTCATGATAATGCATCGCACGCATCGTAACAATGCTATTATTAGCCGAGTCCAAGTAGAAGCTTCAAGTTGAAGTTCCAAGTGTGTAAGCATAAAGTTGGAGATGCAAGATGAAGCATCAAGTTGAAGTTCCAAGTTTGTAAGCATAAAGTTGGAGATTCAAGATGAAGCATCAAGTTGAAGCATTAAGTCGAAGTTCCAAGTTGAGGCATTAAGTTGAAGTTCCATATTGAAGTATTATGTTGAAGTTCCAAGTTAGAGCATTAAATTGAAGTTCTAAGTTGAAGCATTAAGTTAAAATACCAAGTTCAAGCATCAAGTTGAAGCTCTCTCGTGAGCTCACGCCGACCGAGGATCGCGTCTCGGCTTACGGGCGCTGAAGCGACCGTGTCTGAGGCGCATATGTTGCCAGTGACCACATGGCAGGAAGTCCCGGGCTACATGAGTGTACCCTTAGGGTATAGAGGAGTACATTGCCCCTAGCACTTCCCACTACCTAGCACTCACTTCCATGTCTACTTTCTCTCCTTGCTTCTTCCTCACTCCAACTTTTTATCTCTTTCCATTGTGGGTTTTGTTTCTATCTCTCCTAACTTTCCTTCCAGTGAAGTTTTATCGGTCTGTATATCAGAGTTCAGTGGTATAATAATATTATAGCGCGATTGTAGATGACTGCTTTTAGGTTGACGTGAAATAATTATTATTAGAACATTCTGAAACGTATTGCATTTACATACGTGGAGGAGAAAGCACGCCGAACACATACAATCTGCTTAAATTTAATACTACCAATATAATACCAGAATTGTTTTATCTGGGACATAACATCTAGGTAGCTCGAGAATCTGTAAGAAATGTTGGTGCGAGTCCAGCCAAGCGTTATACCAAACCGCCTCGCTCGCGCTCGCGTGTCTGGAAGAGCTGCGTCGTAAGCTCACTGGAACGTCGACCTTTTTGAAGTTCCCGATAGTATAATTTTCGGTATTAGTTAGGCGCCTTTGGGAAAAGTATTATTACAGTTAGATCAGAGATTTGAATAGGTATAACTATTCCTAATAAGAAAAATCAGTATAAAATGCTGAAGTTTTAATTCTCTTATTTATTGATAGTGTGGACAGGCGATATGTGCATGGCGACGAATGTTTCTTCACAGATCAACTTCGTCATTTTAAAAATTTTAATAAATATTGAAGTAACTTACGGATGTATTTGAAACGAGCTGCCCGGAGAGACATTTTTCAAAACAATTTACAATTACGTACAAACCAAAAGCCTTGAGCAGCGACGTTATTATTGCAAGCCCTAGTGACACGGTGACGGACGCATGTCGTGCAGCAGGGCTTGTCCGCGTCTCCGGATGCGTGGCATTACCGTGTGAAGTTACGAAGAGCGCCGTATCTGCCGCGCGCACGCCACGCTTCCCTTAGTGCTGCTGTGTCGCCCGTTCTCCCTACCACTTCCCCCTCATAATCATCCCTCCCCCCTTCCTCTTCCTTCCTACCCCCTCTAAACGAACTCCACTTCCACACATCTCTGCCACATCCTGTGCAGCGTCGCGCTCATGCTCTCGTGCACAGCTCTCGCACGCGCCAAACTTGACACGCGTTTCGGAACTCAGGCTCCAGTTACTATTTTTATACCCATACATCTATTGAAAAACTCTAACCATTATTCCATAGAAGTAAAATCATTGAAATTTCTAGTTTCTGTTTTCCTCGCCACACGTCGGCATCAAGACCTCAGATCTCCAATATTCATTGAAATAAGATCATTGAAAACTACGACCATTCAACTAAGACAAAAGCCCAGTTCTTACCGTATTGCGAATTTACAACGTCGAATTTAACATTTGATTGATCGCCATCACTTTTGCGTCGATTCTATATGCGATTTGGATACAAACGGACGCAAATGTCTATCCAAGTACGCCTTTAAATTTTTGGGACTTTCTTTGATTTTCTGTGACTTGGTTTGAACCAAGTATGAATTCTATTCAAAAATCGAATTCACGCGGTTTTCCTCCCATTAATGCTATTATATAGTTATTTTAATAAACCATACATAGTAATTTTTTTATCTTGCCGTGCAAACGTCTATATTTAGAGTAGGAAATTTTCCGTAAATCAAAGCAACAAATAGTGAAAATTTTTAAATGTATAATTTACCTTGCATTAAAATGTATAGATCGAGAATAAATTCATCGTTTCAAAACTGATGTGAATTGCGAAGAAATGCGAAGGTGGAAGGCCCTCATAAAATTTTAGCATCTGCTTCACCATTATCCTTCATTGCAGGTTGTTTGGTGCAGGTGGACGTCGTGCAGGTGGTGATGCAGGTGGTCGCTCTACTGGCTCATAGTGGCAGTAAGGTGGTGATGTGCAGGTGTGATATCTACTGACGGTGGTGGTGGTTGCTGCCTGTCCCTCACGAACAAGACAGACGTCGCTGCCGCAGCCTGCGTAAGGGCTTGGGAGTGGAGGGAGAGGAGAAGGTGAGTGGGGATTGAGAAGGGGGTGGAAAGTACTGGGGTGAGGTTGAGGGTGGAGAGGTGAAGGATTCACTGAGGATTCGGGCACGCGCCACCCGCAATGCCGAGACTCCGCCCACTGGACGTGTGTCAACCTTAACGCTTTTTATTGCAATTTTCGCAGATAACGCTGGTGATAAGACAATCGATGAATAGAAGAACCTTCAATGCGTAGTGTTAATCAGTGATACCTTTGACGGACAAATAACGCTTGCATATTGTTCAACGAAAATAAATATTGAACGTGTGATCGAGTGGCGCGAGACGCGCGTGAGCCGCAGGAGTACAAGTAGCTGTGCGTGAGCTGCGGGTTGGTTAGTAGTTGCTCAGCGCTGTGTGGTAGAGGTGCGCGCCGCCATGGCTCCAGTCACCAGCTCACAACGTCTTGTTCCCATTAGGCCATCGCCTTTAAAGAGTGCATCCAGTGAGAAAAATACCATAGGAACAGTGTCTTGTGGTGCAACAACCATGAAAAGCAGCGCTAAGAGAAAATTATCTGATTTAGGTGCTCAAGACGGGAAGTGCAAACGTCTGAATACGGGAGGAAGCAAGTCGTCTCAGTCAAGCTCCATGGGACGCCGGAACGCCCGAGAAAGGAACCGAGTGAAGCAAGTTAACAACAGTTTCGTGACTCTCCGCCAACACATACCTGGAGCTTCTAAGGCTAAGAAAATCAGTAAAGTCGAGACTTTGAAACAAGCAACCGATTATATAAGGAGTTTACAAAGGCTTCTTGAAGAACACGATGCCATGCTTACCATGAGTGAGAAAAATCAATTCTCATCTGGCCAGTCTAGAAACACAGTGGTAAAATCGGAAGTTCCTCAAGAGTACGTGCAGCAATTACCACAACTCAATACTCCCGGGAGTGTTGTTATTCCCCAGCATGATAACTCCCCAGCTCCCGAGCAAGCCAGTATTTTTACGTCATATTATTACCCTGAGAACATTTCTCCGGTATCACCATTAGTTTATCCTTTAAATGACGTTAATCAAGTTCCGCTGTCCTCTGATGATGCTTCAATTTTCAGCGCTGATGTGAAACTCACCCCCGCGCAATCTTTTACCTCCACTATTACTCTGCCCACAAGTGACACATATTCTACTATCATGACGCCTTCAACTCCAGTCTCTCAAATATCTTTCTCGCTGCCTCCTTCCACCCCATACTCCAACACTTCCGTGTCTTATCCAATAACCGTCACTTATTCGCCTAGTTCCATACCCACACAATCTCCGAACCCTGGAACAACTTTCTCACCAGGATCGCTGTCACAATCACCAAGTTCATCACCGGCAGCTATCAACGCGCCCGATATTTCTCCGGTCTACGCTCACAGTTTCGAGGAGAGCAAGCCTTCCCTAATTCAAGCAAGAAATTTTATTATTCCCGCGTCCGAACTTCCATATTGTTACACTCCCGAAATGACCACAATCGATATTGATAAGGCAACGGCTACCACCCATGCTGATCTCGAGCTTCTTGACGCCATTGCCTTCTGGCAGGATTGCTAATAGATCGTAAGTGTTGGTTTTGCATTTCTCAACAAAATCCTCCGTATATACCTAACGATTAAAAGCAATTCTGTACAAACAGCATATCATCATTTATTATATTGCTCTTTTTTCATAACAAAATGTTCTTCTACTAATGTTACGTGCCTATATATATCGGAATATGATTCAATTATTAACTGCGTGATTAACGATCCATTTTTTTCATTTTCAGAAATCGCAACGAAGACTTCCCAAAAAATTGTCAGAGGTCTGTCTCTTTCGCAAATAAAGCGGGAGAGTCATCTTCGGTGGTTAATATGGGCGTCTTCGATTGCAGTTGTCATCGTTGTATTTAAACCAGTCGGTGAGTTAATTAATCATTTATGGATAAAATCAAAAGTTGTTATCAATTTTGTAGTGTATCGTCTTTTCATGTTTACTATTGTTTTCGTAAACTCCTTGCTAATGCCTTTATTATTTTTTTGCAGAATCATCTAGTCGCATTCCTCTGCGACTGTCCAGTGTGCGCTGAAATCGCTTCAAGACTCATCAAGACATCTTGATCTCATCCTCTTGGAAAGTCTCAAATTGTAGTCCATAAGATTATTCAAAACGTGCGCTGTATATGACATTTTCTATGGAGTTTTTGAGTGTTGTTTACTTACGAGTCAAAGAAAGTATTTTTTGGAGACCGCTAAGTTAACCTGCAATGTTGTGAATTTTAATATACTCATATGTCGAAGCATTCCAATCTATTATAAGTTAAATATATAGTATTAAAGTAGATTGAAAATTTCCCTAAGGCACGTTTGTACCGCTGTGGAAAATCTACGGATCTCTGATGTGAACTTTGAGTTACTAACGTGTGAATAGATATTGTTATCTAAGTACTAAGGACTCACTGAGGAGATCGTTTGGAAGAGTTTACTGTACTTAGTAGTTGATTTTAATGTTAAGGGCACTCGCAAGCTTTGACACGGAGCATGTTTTAGCCTCATTAGTTTATTCGATGTTGCTAATGAATGAATTTTAACAGAGGTAGAGTAATTACGAAATCATCTAAAAGTTCCTTCACTTGAGGAAATATCCGGCAGACAAATGTTGAAGATGCATTTAAAGTTGATACGTAGTGCGTAGAATATATGAGGCGAGTCAAACAATTCAAAATGTGCTTTGTATTTGAATTTCTTCATGTTGTTTAAAATGACTTGAACCTTAACTATGTTTTACTCAATTAATTTAAAGCCAAATACGTCTTAGTCACGCATTACCTGATTGCTCAAAACATTTGGTCTCGTTTTGATAAGTTGGCTGTATGGGCTCAAAGACATATATGAACGGCCCGTCGAAGTAAGGATTATTTATGATAAGAATGACCGTCCTTGAAAACAGACTATGTCTCGGCTTGTTTAGTTATAGGTTTATTTCTTGTGTCCATTTGATGGAGACCAAACATTCCAGTAACGCAACTTTAATACGAAATATCAGTGGCTTAACGATCTTTGTTACGAATAACCTCTATGCAAATAGTAACTATACCTGCAAACCTCACAGTCTTGTATATCGAGATATTCCTCATCTGAATTCTTTTCTTAATCTGTGAGGTACATTATTTTATCTTGATTTCTAATTGGCTCAATCGCCATCAATTTTTCTCCTCAGTAGATGAAGCAGTGGTCAAGTGAAGAAGCATACAGTTTTCAAGCTTATACTTGTAGTGACGCTTCTCAGTCATTAATTATGCGTTGCAAGCCAGAGTTAGAAAAAAATATCTAGTTAAACGACCGGCAAATGTATCGCGATGTACGTTAGCATTACTGCAGTAGAATCCTCGTGAATAATCCTTTATTAAAGAAAGTCCTGAAGTAATAGTCTGCGAAGTTGCAACATACTCTTTGTACCCTAGACGAGTTGGGTTAAGATTTACAATGACTATGTTCATTTTGCAGTTGATTTTTTCGCCGAAGTTTACTGATGAGACGCTCGAACTTTCCAATCACCTCTCCCCAACAAATTATGCCCGAAAACTTGTATTTACGATTGTTATTTTCCTCTTTTGCTACACCAGCCTGAATGCCTACGCGCATGTCCCATTTCAAATCTGTGCTCCAGAATCTATGCGTGTATTTTTAACACGTGCGTGTACCGGATAAAAAATCCGCACTATATTTGAATCGAGACAATGTAATTATTTGTTCAGCGCAGCATATCTACGGAAAGAAATTCAATGCAATCACTTGTTTTTGGTCCTACGTGACAGGCATATTCTTGACACGGTGTAGTTTCTCACACCATGTTGCAATACATGTTATCTGAGTTGTCGCCTTTCTTATGTACTCTTCTACCCTGAGTGCCTTAACACGTTCAAGTTTATTACTGTACAAATATATTGGCATTATTGTAATAAATATTATATATTCCACTGATTTTTGTTCTCCTTTTGTCGTTAAAGTGAGAAAAGTCTTATAAACGCTCCTACCTACGCGCTTGAAAACTGCGTTAATTTTATGAATTTCAAAGAATAAATGTGATCTTATGTTTTTCATGGGCAACATAATGTTAAGCTAAAGTCAATGGAATTTGTAGTAGGGATAAAATCATGTCTATTTATTTCACTTGAAATAAATAGTTCTAGCAAAAGCTATTCCGCCTTGTGAGACGTTATTTGTGATATTCATCTATAAAATGATAAATTACCTAATTTACTTTGTGACTTTGAGACTATTAAAAACTTACTTGCATTATTGAGCAATATCTACACCAAAATCAGATAAAGAATCAATCATTACGGTCCTTCTGCTTAGGAAATACCATAACTTCCCAGTGAAAATTTACAGACGCGTCAGTTTCTGATTTGGAGTACCAGAAGCTGGGGCTACTCTAAATTTTGTTAGGGTTCCATCACGCGATGGATCACTATTTGTCGCGCGTTGCAGTCTCTCGGTATCGACCAGTTCACTTGACTTGCTAAGCGAAACATTCATCCGCTACAAATTGCAAATAAAATTCTGCCTTATTCATTATATGAGAAAATTATCTGTATAGAGTTATGTTTTTTGACAAAATGCTATCAATTTTAAATTGGAACAATTTAAAAAGTTAATTAAATAATGATTTAAAAATTTGAAATAAATTAAATTTAAATTAGCTTTCAGAGACGTAGACCAGCTACTTCACTGAGATTATAGTTTATTGGCCCACTAATACAATATATGTATTAACTAGCATTCACTCCATAACTGGTCCAGGTACATCTTTCATTTCTTCAAATCAAATCGTTCAGAGCTGCATTTTCATTTTGAGTGCTCTGTAACGTTGCTTAGGGCGTTTAGTTTTAAATCAGTTATACATATTTTCATAATATTTTATAGATTCCAATTTATGTTTTCCTTAATTTCAAACTTTTTCGGAAATCATTGTCATTCTCTCGATAATTTTCACAATAAATAATACAAATAATAATAAGGTGTGCTATTCACACTATCCCGTATTCTTCCATAGCATCGATACATCGAGGTCATTATTCTTCCTTATTTTGACTGAGGTTAAATAGGAACCTTTAGATAGGCCGGTTCTGAAGTGACCATCCTGTTTGTAGGCCGCACTGTGGGGCTCACAATTAATGGGATTAAAATCACGGGTCATTTATTCAGCCCACAGCCCAGCCTTCGGAAGAAAGTCCGAAAATTAGAGACTTCAATTGCCTTTAGAAAAATTGAAATAAATTGAAATTTTATTTATTTTTAAATTCAAGAATAATTGGTCCCAATATAAAAAATAAAAATTCTCAATTTCTTTCTTGATCGAATAAAACAATTAATTCAAAATTGGATAGCCGATAATTTTAGGAACACTAATTCAATATTTTGAAGCCATATATCTCATATATCGATGTGCTTTGGTGGGATTGATAATCATGATATACAATCAAGCCACTATTCTAGATGTTCTTCGTTGTTTATAACCAAGAAAGTATTGTATTAAGAGTATTCGTTCCTATCAACAACAATATTTTGAAAAGCACTTGGAAAATAAAACGCATTCCAATTTCAAACATCGTCAATACAATTGGAATAGATAGTTTTTAAAAATATAAATTCAATTAATTGGTGCAGGCATCAGGGAACACGCAGCTCGACTGCGCGCAGTGCGCACGGTCGCGCCAGGTGACCTGCTTTGCCCGCACAAACAGGGGGAACTTTTCCAAAGACCGCGCTGGTCCGCACGCACGTGTAAGGAATGGAAGGAAGTCCAAATAATGCGTAAGCTCTTTTAGAATTAGGGCGGAAATATATGCATGTCAAGGCAGCTGTGTCGGCCTGCGCTCCATATCGAGGGCCACTGAGCTTAGAAATGTGAAATGTACAATAGTAAATAATATAATTCAGTCATAATTCAAGACCAAAAGGCTCAAATTGAAATTACTTTTGGTAAGAATGCATTTACAATAAGGCAGAGAACACTTCAGTTGTCGCAAACTTAGAAGATGTTTCCAGAATTGGACGATTTCGCCAGTCAGGGAAACACTTTCAGAGACTCAGGTGATGTTCTCGATGGGAATTCGTATGTTATTAGCGATTGGTATGCTTAGGTTCATGCATCAGATAAATTTCGCATGTAAAACCGATATTCTCTTTCAGAATTTAGCAGCGAATACATATATACTAATAAAATGTTACTATCACAATTAGTACCAATAGTAATCTATCCCACGCCCTGGAAAGAAAAATATCACAAAAATTACACCATCTTTTCAACTATATTCAAATATTTAGTTCAGCATTCTACCATCATTGACCACCCAGCTTGAATTCATCAATGCAAGTTTTCCCGGCAGCGATGAAATTCTATTTCAATTCACTTCTTCTGTAGCTTGTTATTTACAGTATATCGGGCATGTTATATCAGAGGTCTCTCCGTGAACCCGATAAAAAAATAATGGTCTCTTCTCTGACACAGATTGGTCCTCGATAGATCTCGCTCTTGTACCAATCTTTACATCGGTACAAATCTGTGTCAATTAAAGTCTGACAATTTTCTGGTGGTCTTTGATTGAAATCAACACTAGAATGGTCGTGCAGGGTCGTAAGGGATGGACTCAAAAGGAAGTTCAGGAGAGTGAATTGGTCATAAGTCACCGGCATGTAGGGGGATCTCATATGTAACCGCCAGTAGAATTGTGCTCACTGTAAATTAGTGAGAACTAGTGGCTGAAGATTTTGCCTTGGTTAATTGGACAGTTGTTAGTTAGTTTTAAAAAAGGGTCGTACCTAAAATTAATAGTGAGCTGATCGTAATGACTTAAAATTCTAACTTGTCGACACCACGAATTTGATCGAATGCGCTTCGGAACTATCAATATGGGAATAGTCCTTACGTTACCAAATGCGAACACGAAGTTAATTATTCAATGAACGAACATGTCTTCAACTTTGCATTAAAAAATTATTACGTTGTACTAAGCACAGACAGAATATGTTTGTAAAGGGTGGGAGTTGCCCGCGTGAGGTATAAGTGTGGACAACATGGGTGCATTGGAGCTTGTAACGAGCTCATCATGGATGCAAATATATGCATGGCGTACACCTATGGATGACTTCCCACCGTGAAGGTAGCCCTCATTACGCATCGATAAAAAATGATGACCATCACCCCGAGAGAGTCATTACGGACAGTACCGATTTAATAATGCATTGACTTTCGATTAAAAAGAATCAAATCAAGCAGGAGGCTGCGGTATTTCGGTGTCATGATCGAGCCACTGCATGACGGAACACATTTTTGATTCTGGTAAGACTGAGAGACTATGATGCCTTCTTGGATTTTAATGAAGTATTTGATTCGTCGTTGTGTTTATTATTTAAACTTTGAGTAGGTAGTAATAATCGTATAAGAGTATAGTAATCGTATAAGAAAATTTTTCTGCCAATTTTTATACGTCATGCCAGATAATGAAAAAATTTCAAACTAAATAATATTTATTTTAGAACGACTTGTTTTGATTGAATTCCGAATTAAGTAGACATTAAAAATTTGAAATAAATTGTAATTTTCTAGTGATAGAAGGAAACCTCGATTTATTAAAAATTTTAAAATGAGGTTTTAATACCATTACACCAATATATTAAGCTGTGCCAGACTTTAAACATAAACACTCCCTTAAATTGATAATAGATTTAGCGTTAGTAATATCCAAGTACTATTAATTTTTGAAAATAATTTCCCACGATACTATTTTATTCAAATGAGTTACATATTATTTTAGGATTTGTTTTATTGTACTCAGTGAACTTATTCAATCTATGCTAATTACATAAATTTGTAACATGTCAACAATATGGTTACAATATTCTTCCATATGTCGATCGCTAATTCTCAAAGCATTTGTTAATTATATGCTCGTGGGTTGTCACATTCATTACAGAAACCCCCAACAAATCTAACTTCACCCACGACGCCCACAACTGATCAGTAAATAAGACAACATCGTCCATCATGCACGGTTCGAACCCAAATTACGAACTCCGTATTATTGACTCATTACGATCTGGACCAATACACGGCAGGCCGGCATCCAACTTTTGTGTAATTGACGCCGTGGACCCTTCATTGTGTTCGTTCAGCCATCAGTTAGCATCCATCACTAAGCCTCGTGCTCCAGACAATCATAAACCACATTAAACTTAGAACACTGGCCATCGGTGGACACAACATGGCCGCTCAATACATGATTTGGTGATATTTTGTAATGCGGTGGGCAGAAAGTTATGTTCCATATTAAACTATACACTCAACGGTAGGGGCCAACTTCTTACGTAAAGATATACGTGTATATATTGATGATGATGAGAATTTTAATCACCGTTCCCATTAATGCAATAAAATGATGATGTAGAAGTTTTCTGCACAATAATTTTAAAAGTAATTAGAGGATTTGTTGAAAATCGGCGTAGAGTATTAAGTGCAGCACAGGCTTTCCTCAGAGCTGGAAGCTCTCATATCTTAACTATTTCTTACATAGAATGAAACAGCTCAATATCTTTGATTATAATTCCACGTCATTGCTCATACTTTTAGTTCGTCGGAATCCCACATTAACCTGTAGTAACTGATAGGCTAGGTGACTTAAATATTCCATTCACATCATGAATCTTAAGACTAACCAATTAGCCTCGCGCAAAGACATGCACAGTTGAGAACATTAAAAAATGCGACGTCAATGAATCTCCACGGCAGTATCACCGAGGCAGCATGCATCCTTCCCACTCATTCCCACCTCCGTTATGAAGGTATATAGCGTAACGACAATTTTTCCTGAAAACAAAGCCAAAATCTGGTGCATTACAAAGGTCTTAACCCGCTCAGGGAGGCTCAGTTCCGCGGCAAACATGGGCACGGTGAGGCGCATTAAAGCT